TGGGCTCTTCGGTTTCGCATGAACGCGCGCGTGACAAATCTGTGGGAGTTTTTCGTGACACTACAATACCCGGTTACAATGGCGAATGGAGACATGCGAGATGCAATGGAACGGCTGGAAGTTCTGCAACCAGATTACTCACAACGGGCTACGCTGGCTTTTTGGGTACTACTACATAGCGTGAGCGCAACGATTCAGCTGCAACTGGACGTGTTCCAAGAGTCATACAGTCCGGCATTCGAAGCATGGGAGTACCTGATGGAGACTTACCAGGCAAAGGATTCGGTGGCAAAGGCATCTCTCCAAAGGCAATTGGACAACCTGAAGATGGGGAGTCAAGAAAGAGTGGAAGAATACATCAACCGAGCAACTGCAATTCATGACAAGTTGGCAATGGCGGGAAAAATGGTGGATGAAGATTCATTCACCTTGAATCTGATTACTGGGCTGCCGCCGCATTGGGAGGAGCTAAGGCATTCAGCAATGCTACACGACATCTCGGACAGCTACACACTACAGCGAATGATGATTCAGGAACAACGTTACCAAGACCTCATTAGCAAGACCAATCGTGACAAACGTCCTCCCCGCATGGCTGGTCAAGCACGTGGAGATACTTCACCAGCAAAGGAGAGGACCGAGACAAAGGGCAACCAGAATGCGACAAGGTCAACGGGAGGGCAGCATGCGCCGGTTGGGGACAAATTCAAAGGCAACGAAGGAAAAGGAGGGCGGTCTAACCTTGTGTGTTGGTACTGCAAGGAATCCGGCCACTCGTTCTACAAGTGTCCCAAGGCGCCTCCGGGTTGGTCACCACCAGGTTGGGAACCACAAAACAGAGGGAGAACAAACCAGCGCACCTGGAGTAGCCGTTCGTCCTCGCCTCGAAGGAGTGAAAGTCCGAAACGTGACAATCAAGCGACAAAACAGCAAGGGGCAGCCGGGGGAGACAACAAACGAACCGTTACATGCGTTGCAACAGTTCGATCGTCACAAGCAATGTTACCATCAGCCGGAGGGTCGATGTGGTTTCTGGACAGCGGATGCAGCCAACACATGACTTCAGAAAAGGATTGGTTTGAAGGTGTAAAGGAGCTGAATGAACCTGTGTATGTGGAGCTTGCTGACGGGAGCCACCTGTTGAGCTCGATGGCGGGAACAATTCGAGCAACGGCACCTGATGGAACAACCGTACGCTTCACCGACGTGCTCTATGTCCCCGGATTGAAGTCCAACTTGCTCTCTTATTGCCAACTGCACAAAAAGGGAGCTCGGATTCGCACACGTGATGATGGCAACATTGAGATCACTATGGCAGCTGGAGATGAGCATGTGGTCATTGGGATTGGGATGATCATGCATGGTGTGCTCATGATGCAATATGAGCCTGCACTTACATCCGCCCATGAATCTGGTCATGATCATCCGAATGAAGCATCGAATGAACCTGGTCTTGGAGGGCTGAATGTGCAGTCTGCTCATGCATCGATCACATACCGCATGGCCCACAAACGCTTGGGTCACCCATCATACACATCCATGGACGCAACATTTCGCAATGGAGATGTTGAAGGACTCTCCATATCCGACAAGACAAGTCCCCTCAAACCCCCGTGTGACTCATGTCTTCGAGGGAAGATGAGCAAAACCCCATTTCCCACAGGTGGAGACAAGCGCACAACTCGACCTTTGGAGCTCGTGCATAGCGATATCATGGACTTGGGTGACGCTCACCCTTCACTTCGCTACGTGCTGACGCTCAAGGATGACTACACCAACTACCTGTGGGTGGCGCCGTTGGCTCGCCGGTCCGACATGGCAACTGTTTTCTCGGCATGGCATCGCGAGATGAAGACCAAATTGCCCACGAAGCCGCTGGCTGCCTTGCGCACGGACAACGGGGGGGAGTATACCGCGAATGCTTTCACGGATAACCTGAGCTCTCACGGCATCAATCACCAAACTTCCTTACCACACACGCCACAACAGAATGGAGTCGCCGAACGGGTTAACCGTACACTCATGGACCGAGTGCGCGCAATGACTACTGGGGCCAGCCTTTCCTCCAAGTTTTGGCCTTGTGCGCTGGAATATGCAGCATGGCTACACAACCGCATCAGCTGCAGCAGCAACCCATCGGCACACTCACCGTACTTCATGATGACGGGAAAGGCGGCAGATGTCTCGATGGCAAGGACATTTGGCTGCCTGTGCTACTATCTCCCTCCCCAAGGCAGCTTCGGAAAATTTGAGCAGAGAGGTCGGACAGGCATGTTTCTCGGCCTCTCTAACTCACGAAAGGCATGGATCGTGCGGGACTTGGCAAGCGACGTTGACACTGACACACGCTCCGCTCGCTTTTTTTATGACCTCATGTTACCGGACGCTGAATCAGTAATCGAACGCCAACACTACTTGGAAGAAGTCTCACCGCACATTGACGGCTGGACTTCAGGCGGAGAAGGCTTTGGCTCCAGGTTTGACTCCTTTCCCGCATCCCCACCATCGCCTACATCGCCCACAACCACACGAGGACAGGAAGTTGACACAACTCAAAAGGACTCACCCATTGACGATGCAGCCGAAACAGGAGAAGGGGCTACAGCAAGTGACTTACCTCTAGCAGGCGTCTCTGTTCCTGAAATTGCTGAAAGCAACAACATGGAGAATGAGGCAAGTCATCTCTATGACTTTGCGTACCCACCTGATGGAATCGAGCTGGCAGCTCATGACGCAACTCCACGACGGGTTCATTTCAACCCAACGGTGACTGTGCTTCGAAGAGAAGAACAAGGGACGGACGGCATGACAGGACTGGACGTACTGTTTGGGAAACAACGGGCAGCACAAGCGTTCAACGTGCAACAACACGTGCTAGGATGTGCAGCAACCGGCATCCCCATGGTGGACTTGACGTACAAGGAGCCCAAAACGCTCAAGGACATGACAACAGACCCGTACGCACCTCTTTGGCAAGCCGCGGTGGATGCAGAATTGGCTAAATTCGATGAGCTGGAAGCATACGAAGTGGTGGACAGAGCGGACGTACCAAAAGGAACGACGGTGCTGGCGGAAGGAGTCGTTCTCAGGGTGAAACGAGATGAGCACGGACAGCCAAACCGGTTTAAAGCGCGCTGGGTGGTCAAGGGATGCGGACAAACATGGGGAACATACGATGGGACGTATGCACCAGTCAGCCAAGGACCTACCTCTCGCATGTTCGTCGCTGGTGCATCTACTACAAAGCGGAAGGTGGTGCAACTGGACATCTCCAACGCATTCCTGTACGCTCCAATCGACCGGGATATATACGTACGACCACCAGAACCAAGGCGGGACGGAGACAAAGTTTGGAAACTCAAAAGAAGTGTGTATGGACTGAAACAAGCACCACGTTTGTGGCATCAACACTTACGGGGTGTCTTGTTGGAGCTGGACATGGTGCAATCCGAATCAGACCCCTCTCTATTTATTTGGAAAAGAGACGGACAGGACACGGTGTGGCTACTCACTTACGTTGACGACATTCTCATCCAGTCTCATGACGCAAAAGGCATTGAAGTTGTGATTCAACACTTGAAGCAGCACTTTACCTTAACGGTCAGCGAGACCATGACGCAATTTTTGGGGCTCAACGTCACCGCGGACAATGACTTGATCGCACTCGGACTCACAAAGTACATCTCACAGGCTTTGGCGACATTCGGGATGGAGGGCAGCCGTTCCGGAGTACGGACACCGATCGCCAAGGAACCTGGACCACAAGGAGAACCACCGGACGAGATTAATGGTCAATTGGTGCTGAAACAAGTTGGGACATTGCTGTACATCTCAACAGCAGGGCGGCCGGACATAACTTATGAGGCGCATGTGCTGGCCAGGCAAGCAAGCAAACCAACAGCAACAACAGTGCTTGGAATCCACAGGGTGTTCAACTACTTACAGAACACTGCAGACATGGGGCTGGTCTATGGAGGAGGAGACTTGGTGCTCTGCGAATACACGGACTCGGATTATGCGAACGAAGAAGGGCGTCACTCAGTTGGAGGCTACGTGTTTACCTTGGGAGGAGCTGCTGTCAGTTGGAGGACTAAACGACAAACAGTCATTGCGACATCAACAGCTGAAGCAGAATACATTGCGCTGTTTGAAGGGGCAAGGGAAGCCACATACCTTCGCCGCTTGTGTGAAGACCTCGGTTTTCGACAGCAGGACCCTACCGTCATCTTTGTGGATAACCAAAGCACCATTGCGCTTGCAACCGGAGAGCAGATGAGTCAACGCATCAAGCACATGGACATCCGTTACCATTGGACGAGGAAGGCTGTTCGTGATGGAGTTGTACGGCCGGAGTACTGCCCAACAGCTCAGCAAGCTGCGGATTATCTCACCAAGCCCCTCATAGCCAAACAACATCTCACCTGCAGCCTCTTGTGCGGTCTCCAACCAACTCCACATGTCGCACCGTCTGCACCCAGTACTCACATTGAAGCTGCTGGAGCTGCACTCTCAAGTCCGGGCTTCTCAAAGGGAACGGAACAACACAGCATCACGTAACTCCACACATCTCACTCATGTGTTTGGTGATGTGTGCGTGCTCACGCATGTGCATGCCTACTAACACACGAGTGAGAGGGGGAGTGGGGTGTGGAGTATCTTGGGGTGCAACAAATCAGGATTTCATCTCACAACCATCTTTTCATTTTCGTCATCACAGGAGTCAGCATATAATCATGAGAAGACCTACTGCAATCAGTAACAGCAGCCATCAGATATTCTGCTGGACAGTCGCTGCTGCTGGTTGGTCACAACCACTCGCCATCTGCAGCGGCCGTTCCTGAAGACTTCATATGCCTGCTGATTTCAGGGGGAGTAAAACACGACAGCAAGAGTCAGTGGAGGATTACACAGTCATGAATGGATAAACGACTGTTACTGCTGATCGAAGATAAAAGGCAAGCTACATGTGATGGACGTGTGCTGGAGCAGCAGTAGCGTACCAAGACATGCTGGAGCCACAACAGTTGCTGCAGGCCGCATAGCTTCTGGTTAAGGGCGTCAAGGGGAGCTGCAGGCAGAGTGCTGGTGCAGAGTGCTTCTGCCGCCATCTGCTGCAGCAGGCCCGATGTTGCTGCAAGCGGCCAAGTGATGCTTCAGGTGGGCAGTAAATGTTGCAGCCGCCATGGCCAGTCGCCCACAGCTGCTCCCGTGCGCCCGCTGGTGTGACAAGGGGATAGCATCACAAGTGAAAGCAGGCATGACTGACTCTGCATCCAGAACAAGACGAGGCTTACGGGGTGTAAGGCACCATGGCATGAGGCAGGGTAGAAAGCTGGAGCCTCACTCACAAGGGTGCATAAGATACGACGGTGCAAGAAGTCAGGACTTGGGTGCGGCAGAGAGGAGAGCACAACGCTCGCTCAAACGGAACACCTCACCTCGGCAGAAGAATGGGTCAGCAGCCAGTTGCTGCTAGTCGTCTCCAGCTCACCCGCCGCTACTTCCGCGAGTGTGTCGCTACTGCAATACGCTGATGCTGCTGCCGAGCGCCGGGTAGTGCTGCTGATGTGCGACCCCTGCTGCACGCCGTTGAAGTTGAAGCTGCTGGTCGGCACGAGAAAGCTGGCCTGCACAAGCTGCTGATGCGGCCGCCACTCGTCAACCGCCGCTGGTGCAGCTTCCGCCAGGTGCAGGAGCAGCCGCCAGGTGCAGGAGCAGCCGCCAGGTGCAGGAGCAGCCGCCAGGTGCAGGAGCAGCCGACAGGTGCAGGAGCAGCCGCCAGGTGCTTGTGTACCAGTTGCAGCTGCTCCCGTACGCCACCTGGTATAGGGGGAGCAGCACAGGGCAACATGGAGCAGCACAGGGTCAAGGGGAGCAGCACAAGGTAACATCACAGGGTAACAGGGTAATATGGGTGAAACAGTCAGGTTCCACTAAGCATTCTCACCTCGGCAGGAAGAAGAAAGTCGTGCGTCACAGGTGCTGCCGTGCGTCACAGGTGCTGCCGTGCGCCACAGGTGCTGCAGCTCGCCACAGGTGCGGCCGTCGTTGCAGTCGTGGGCAATGGCGTCATGCGCGAGGCGCTGCAGGAGCGCCAGGTCGTCCGAAATGGCAAGGGGAGGGCGCGCACCAGTAGAAGCCGCCACATGCGATATAATGCAGCAGCGCGCATGATGCTCCAGACGTGCGCCAACCGCTGCTGCCGATCACCACGGGCATCGATGTCGCAGAGCGCCGTGAACAGCAGTCACGCGCAAGGAGCTGCAGCGCGCAGGACGTCAAGCGAGAAGGTTACTGCAGCCGCGCGACAGAGGAAGCAGTAACGCGACAGAAGCAGCAGTCACGGATCTGGCCGCAGCCGCAGAAAACGCGCATCCGGCGCTGCAGGTCGTCACGTGCGTTATTGTCACCGAGCGCCAGCCGTGACATCACGAGCGCTGGTGACGCGCACCAGCTGATGCTGCCGGATATCGCGACATACAACAGCTGACGCGCAATGGAAGCAGCTAACGCGGATCGGGGAGCATTTCGGGCTGCTGCTAGGTCGCGCGCTAGCAGCTAAGCTATGATTTCGCCATAATTTCGCCAGCAGCACTCATAGCTAGAGAAACAGCTTCGAAAGGGACATCTGAAAGCGAGCAAATGACAAGATTGGAGGACCCCTGCTCGACGAGGTCGCAAGAGCTGTGGGAAGGAGAGACGAGCACCAGGGCGCAGCACCAATGTGACAGCAACGTAACAAGAAACACCTGAGATCCGAAAGTCGGGACCAAGTGTACACCTGACGAGGAACGTGCACGAAATCTGCTACATGACAATCGACCCAACTCTCCAACGTGTCAACGGAACTTTGAAACCCTAACGTGGTCTGCTCCGCAAACAACGCTGTCATCTTCAACAGCTCCGCAATCCTCGCCGGAATCATCCGCAATTACCTGTGTCACCAACGGTACCACCTTGTACTCCTACCCTCCACAAAAATGAACCCCAGTAAATTTATAGTAAAATCTACAGCAAGGGGGAGTGTTGGAAATAGAAACATGAGGAACTATATATGCTGTTAGATTTTTACTGTAGTCTCCTTTATAAGACTCCAGGTCCTACAATAATTGTACAATTATTGTAGGGCCAGAATTATTGAAGTCTAGAGGTTTGGGGGTGAAATTATTGGTACTCCTTTATTGGAGTTGCCATTATTGGTGGTACAATTATTAGTGTGCATGGATAGGTGTGGGCAGGGTAGCTGATAGCATAAATTCCCTGCTGTGAGGTTTCATAATCAATCCATTCAGTTGCAAAGTTCTCTTGTTATTCTCTTCTACAATCAAGGCTTCCGCTACGACGGCACTATGCCTTTCTAGCACGCTCAACATTCTTACAGCCTCTACATCGTAGGCAAAAAAATTGTGAGGAGGGAAGGGGTTCGTAGGCAAAGTCGTGGAGGGGTGGGGGGAGTAGTGGTGGGATGGGGGGTGGGGGGGTGTGCTCAACACAGAAACCAAAACTTGGATTCAGGGGAAGGCCCAAACAAGGCCCCTGACTGTCACGGGTGCCATGCCATTCTAGCACTTGAAACGGTCGAGCTGCTCCAAGCGTAACCCGGAATGTTCAGGGCATTAAGGCCAAATGGCCTTGCTTCTCCAGCCCTGGTGGTGGTGGTTCGGCTTTGCTGTGTGGTTGGTAGTGTGTGTATGACGCCTTGTGGTTGTGGTGGTGGCTCAGTCATGCTCGATTGGGCTCTGAGACATGCACGTTAATACGCCGTGTGGCATAAGGGCGCGTAACCATTTTGGTTTTTCTTGAAGTTACGTTCAGAAACGAACGTTCGATAATGGACGGTTCCGTTTCCGATATGGAACCGTCTGTTTATCGAAACAGAACTCGAATACTCAAACCATCGAGTTGAATTTGTTTCGAAGTTTTGAATACTCGCGAACTTGAGAGATGTTACGAAATCAAGCGACATTCACGAGTTTCGTACAGCTACTTTGGCGGCTCGGATTCAAAATTTGAAACACAATCTACGGTCATTTTGGCAGCCATAAAAAAAAAAAAATGTTTCGACAGTTCCCGCAAACTCAGCGTCTATTCGTTCGCCAACCACAAGTCGCCATATTTGATCAGTTCGTTTCTGATGAACCGAAACCGTGCGTTTGCTTGATTCCCACCATTTTGTGTTAAAAGTTCCACACGGTAATGTTGCGATGCTGACGTCATAGAGTTACGTGCGAACTACTATGCGAACTTGCACGACAATAGTAACCACCATTTAGAACGGACTGTCCAACAAACAAACCGTCAGGGACAAAATGGTTACGCGCCCTAAGGCCAACGATGCCCTTTGGGTCAGGGAACCAAGAGATTCGCGCACGAGGATATACGCTGCATAAGGAACACCGCTGATGATGCTTGAACATGAACTTCAAGAAACTACTCTACACACCTCTGCACAACCACAAGGCACAACCACCTCTACACTTTTGTTAGACTGGCCTTGTCCATTCTTTGCTTATCCTTCAGAAGGCTATTTACGAAACACCTATTGAAGGATGCATCTCATTCCATACAAACACCTTATTGAAAGTTGTTACATGGCAGTTTGCAGCTAAAGCAAATTGGGGAAGTGCCTCTTCCTGGAAAACTCTACTTCCTCATGAACTGATCCTGAGGTGGTACATTTCTTGCTTGAAACCTCATGATGTTAGCTCTGTAACCTGTTGGTGCAAGAAGAGATCAAGGTTAAGGTTTTGAACCATGAACAAGGGACACATAAGGCAGTGAAAAAAAAATGACGACAGTTATGAACTCACCATCCGCAGGAATCCATCCGCGGTTCTTCAGCTCGCGGTATTCTTGGGAGTAGGCGCAGCACTGGCAGCACCAGTGCAAGAAAAGGTCGTTCACCGAATCCCCAGGCAGGTTGTACTTCGCCCTCAGCTTGGTTCGGAAGCCTGGGTAAGGCGGATGGAGGCCCAACGGGTGGACGAATAGATGGATGAATGCACGGACGTGGAGAAAATAGGCGACGGCATAAATGACACGATGAGCTGGCACGAGATGAGACGGCATACGAATGGGCTAGAAACGAGGAACAAACTATCACCAGCGCCATTTCTTTGCTTTTAATTCACAACGCATCGACCAGACTGTTGCAAGGAGCACTCACCGAACGAATACACGCATCCAGCGAAGAGGCAACATTGGATGAGATACCACAAGGCGCAAGCCTCCTCCATCGCTGAACACAGGGGAAGAGGAAAACAAATGTTTGTGAAAATACTGAAAGACGGGTGAGAAAGAAAACTCTTGGTGATGAAACCTTCAGCTTCAAGTTTTTTGGCATTATACTATCATCGAACGTTCCCGTTCGCCTCAAGGATGCATGTTGTTGTTTTGCCAGCGTGACACCATGATCGCATGTCGGCTTGCGAAGCCGGGGCGTAATTTCCCACGTTCCCGTTCACCTCAAGCCTACTTACCGACGTTACCATCCGACGCGATCTCGGCGACTCGGCCGAAGACCACGCAGGGGCAAAAGTAAGCGCAGCAGCCTGTAAAATCATGCAGAGCAGGGGCCGTAGACCACGCAGGGGGGAAACCACAGCACGCAAAACGGTGGTTATAAAATAAACATGGCCAGAGGGTTCGGATTCGTGCAGGAGCAAGCATCAGTGGAGGAGAAATTATAGAAATGTAGAGCAGGGAGGCACGCAGGGAGAGAACATAAGGCGCGCAGCGTCGAGATTTTCCGCGGCCCACACGGCGGAATTTTGGCAGGGTGGTCTTCTGGTAGTAGCATCAAATTGATGTCTTCATACGCTTTAGCGTCTACGGATTTTTCCAAGGCACTGCTCTTCGTAATTTTCAGGCCGTAGATAATAACTTACAGGTTTCGCAGTCCTCGAAGCAGCCGCAGCATCCCGTCGTCCACGTGCCGGTTGGGGCTGGCGAAAATTGCACAGGCGCAGCCATAGGTGGTGCCGGTGCGGGGTAAGCCATGCGACGAGTTGAGTTGCGTTTTGGAGAAAGAGGGAAAATGCGTAAACGAAAAAGCTCAACTGTGCGAGAACTAGGAAGTGTGTGGAAGAAAACAAAACGGAGAGTGTGTGTGGCGAGTGAATTTGCTAAATGGTAGCAAGTCGGATTCTTTAGTTGATGGTTGGGCTCGATGCATATATGTTGGTGTGACGAGCAGGAATTGGACAAGCCGGGGCGCACCGTGTTATGGGCGGATACCGAAGTGTGTCGTATGGTTTGACGAAGGATTCGGTTTGGATACTGGTTTGGTGCCTTGGCTGTTGGCTCGTTTGGTATGGCAGGCCACCCTTATACGGCAAGTTCGGTGAATAGCTTCCTGACCATGGGCATGGAACAAACGTGTGGTTTGGCGAAGTGAAGGTTGGGGCTCGGGACCTTGCGGCTCGATTCCTTCAGATTGCAGCTTGGGTGGAAGCAGCAACAAATATAATTGTGGCCCTCTCCATACAATAACGGGGCAAGTGCACGACGTTCAAGCGGCAATAATTGTACGGAAGTTGCTATGTAACAGTGAAAGACACTTCTTGTTATGAGTTGTACGAAAGAAGAGTGCGCAGAATGCAATATCGCGGAAGTGATTACAACTACTGAGCTAACAACGAGGCCTAGGACTAATATAGCAATGCTAGCTAGGCCGAGTTCGCGGAGTCGTGAGATGGTTGGGTGCAGGTTTGGGGTTGGGAAACCCGTAGGCGACCCGAGGGACGTTCGGAAGGCGAGATCGTCGGATCGAGCCTGAACTCCAAAAGTTGGAATTGTACGCGCACAGAGTGCCTCAGTAAGGAATTAGGAAAATTCCTTACACTACCTCCCCCTTTAAGAAAGGTGGTCCACATCAGGCACGCGTCAGCGGGAGAGATAATCCCGTAGTACCGAGTGGCCTTGGAGTGAGTCGGCGGGGACCCACGTGTCATCTTCACTTGGCGTAGGAGTCAGCGTAGGAGGAAATCGACGTGGCGTCCAGCGGATGCGATGATTCAAAATCTTCCAGGGCTGCAGTGTCGGGTCTGCCACAGGCCGAACACTTGCCGTGATCTTGGGGCGGGCGATGTCGGACGACTGCGGAGCCACGTAATAGTGGAGCAGACTGACGTGGAAAGCGTCGTTGATTTTCCAGTCATAACTGGGGTCAACATCCGAATAATGCGTAAGGGTCCCACGTAGCGGGGACGCTGTTTTGCGGGTCGGGGCAGGCGAAGAGTCTTCGTGTCCAAGAGGACCATCTGCCCGTCACGGAAGGGTAAGTTCCGTTGATGCCTGTCAGTGTAGCGGCTGGCAACAGTATTAGCCTTCCGAATAAACTCTGCTGCCTTGTCGCGGGCTGCTTGAAGTTCCGAGACGAATTGCTGCGATCGTGGTACCGGATTATCGGGGGTCGTTGAAGAGGGTACCACGGGGTCTATCCCGTAATTGAGGTAGAACGGCGTCTGATTGGTTGTCGCAGACGGCGCGTTGTTGTACGCAAATTCCAGCATGGGGAGTAAATCTTCCCACTTGGTGAGGTCGGGGCAGTTCGTGCGAATCAACTGCTCCATAGTATGATTTGTCCGTTCTGTCTAACCGTCATTTTGCGGGTGGTAAGACGACGAAAACTGCAGGCAGGTGCCGTACTGTGCCCACGTCTCCTGCCAGAACTTCGACGTAGATTTCGGGTCTCGGTCGCTGATGATTGCCGAAGGTAACACGTGCAGTCTGACGACGGTCGAGATGAACAGCTTCGCAGTTTCTTCGGCGGTGATCGTCGTGCGACATGGTGCGAAATGCGCAATTTTCGTTAAGCGATCGACGATGACCAGGAGTCGTTGCCACTTGCGCCAGCTGGGAGCCCCGTGATGAAGTCCATAGTCACCTGTTGCCACCGTCGTTTGGGTGGCTCGAGGGGTTGCAGCAACCCAGCTGGACGTTGTCTTGACGACTTCATCGCTTGGCAGGTCGGGCATGCTGATACTTAGCGCTGCACGTCCGACGCCATGTCGGGCCAGTAATGATTCCGTTGCAGCAGCTTCAATGTTTTTTCGACGCCGAAATGCCCGGATAGGTTAGAGTCGTGAACCTCCTGCGTCAGCAACTCTCGTAGGGGTCGGTAGGAGGGTACCCAAACCCGTCTGGTGCCGAATTTCAGGTGATAGCTCCCGTGTGGCGTGGTGACCCGTTGGTGTTGATTCGTCCTGAAAAACCGGTCCGTCCTCTATCCGTGCTTAAAAAGTCCTGCCAATAATGGGTTAGAATGGGCGATTAGTACTGCGGCGGTCTGCATGGAGGGGCGGGTCAGGGGCGTCGGCGAAGTTGTTGGCGCCCTTCTTGTACGTAATGGTGTAGCGGAAGTTTGACTCGAGGTAATCGAGCCACCTGATTTGCCGCGGGTTGAGCTGTGGTTGGCTGCGCATGTACTGTAATGACTGTGGTCTGTCCTGATCGTGACGTCGTCTCCCGTCAGATAACAGCACCAGGTACGAAATGCATGCACGATGGCGAGCATTTCTTTGTCGTGTACAGGGTAGTTGCGCTCGGGCGGCTGCATTTTACGTGACTCGTACGCAATAGGTTGCAGCCCGTTGCCGAAATCCTGTAGAAGGACGGCGCCGACGGCGAAATCGTTGGCGTCCGTCACGACTTCGAACGGTCGAGATGGGTCTGCCAGCTGAAGTACCGGGGGTGAACTCAAAAATTTATTGAGCTCGTCGAAGGCCAACTGCTCTCTCTCTCTCTCCCAAAAAAAATTGCACGCCCTTGTGTAGAAGATCGGTTAACGGCCTGGTTACCCCCGCGATATTCGGTACAAACCAGCGGACGTAGTTAACGAAGCCGAGAAAACTCTGCAACTCCGTGATGTTCGTGGGGAGCTTCCACTCCGAAATTGCTCTTACTTTGAGAGGGTCAATTTTAATGCCCTCCCCTGAAACCACGTGCCCCAAGAACTCCAGCTCTGGCTGTAAGAACTCACACTTAGAGCCCTTCGTAATCAGTCGGTTCTGCTGCAAGCGCCGGAACAGTTCCTCTAAACCCCGTAAGTGCTGCTCCCGAGTCTTGCTGTACACCAGGATGTCATCCAAGTACACAATGATTTGTTTTGTCCAGCATGTCCCGAAACACCCCGTTCATGGTGAGCTGGAACGTCGAGGGCGCATTTGTCAACCCGAACGGCATCACTGTATACTCGTAACTTCCGTAGCGGGTGCGAAAAGAAGTCTTCGGGCAGTCGTCGGCGAACACGCGAATTTGCTGGTAGCCACCTCGCAGGTCGATTTTCGAGAAGAAGCGAGCCCCGCGAAGCTGATCCAGCAAGTCGTCCGCTCGCGAAATCGGGTAACATGACTTGATGGTGATCCGATTTAGCGCTCGATAGTCGATGCACATGCGTAGGCCTCCGTCCTTCTTCGACATGAATAGTATCGGGGCGGCGAATGGTGACATGCTTGGCCGGATGAATCCCTTCGAGAGCAGATAATCCAACTGCTTCCGCAATTCGTCGAGCTCCAGTTGGCTGAGCCGCCACTGGGACCAAACAGTTGGTTGCGCGCCTGGTTCCAGTTCGATCCTGTGGTCTTCTGGTCGTTGAGGTGGCAACCCATCAGGCAGGTCATCCGCGAAAATTTCGGGATACCTCTGAATTATGCTCGCCACATCGTCAGGTACAGCAGCATAGAGCGTGTCAATGTCGGTGATTTTATCAGACGCAACCACCTCGAATAGCTGTACAACATAGCCTTGCGCTCCTCGTTTTATCGCCCTCTTCAGCGTTATCACGTTGACACGTGTCGTCATCGGCTCTGGCTCTGCCCATTTCGGAAGCGTCACACGTCCCTTGTTGCTCAGCACCGTGCACGCCCCCGTCGTCCAGTCGATCGTCGGATTATATCGCTGTAGCTAGTCTTGTCCCAACAGTAGATCGCAACCTTCCAGTGTTGTCGCCAGCATCTTCATTGAAAACCCGAAATCGTCGCCATACTTCATCCGAATTTGTCGCACCTCGTCCCTAATCGCCAGCGGTGTCCCGTCCACCAGTCGCGCATCAATCTCGGGCAGACACTTGTCCAGCTTGACTCCGTTTTTTTTTGTTTGCCGTTGCCAGGTTGACGAGACTGTGGCTCACCCCACCATCAACGAATATTTTTATTTTATACCCGTTAACCCTCCCCACGACCAGCACAGGGTGATCCACACGTTCATCCACCTTATTTGTCCGGTTGCGGTCGATAGCCCGTATCGGTACCACTAATCGGCGTGGATATTGATTGCCGGGCGACGGGGTCTCGTCAGTAGGTGGCCCGACTGCTACTGACTCGTCTCTTTTCCCAACCCCTCTCCGTCGTTCCTGTTCCCCTGTTTCAGCTTCGGGCAGTCTTTCCTCTAGTGGCCCGGTTGGTTGCAGTTGAAGTACGGGTTTGGTGCACGTCTCGGCACATCCACACCGTTGATTGTGGGCTGGCGAGGCGGTCCACGAAACTGAGTGCCCTCCCGGGAACTCATTCTCGCCCACTGTATCAGCGCGTCCGTTGATTCGGCCAGCTGC